TTTTCTTTATCAATTCATCCATTGATGGACACTTAGCTTGTTTCCATATCTTGTCTGTTGTAAGTAATGCTGCAGTGAACATGGAGGCAGAGATATCTCTTTGAGATACTGACTTTATTTTCTTTAAATATATGTCCAGAAATGATATTGCTGGATCATATGGTAGTTCCATTATTAATCTTTTGAGGGAATTCCATACTATTCTACATAATGGCTGTTACCAATTTACATTGCCACCAATAGTGTACAAAGGTTCCCTTCTCTGCATACCTTCGCCAACACCTGTTATCTTGTCTTTTTGATAATAATCATACTAACATTATCTCACTGCAGTTTTGATTTGTGTTTCCCTGATGATTAGTGATGTTGTACACCTTTTCTTTATATATATATATATATAAGAATAATAAATTATATATATTTTTTATTTCAGCATATTATGGGGATACAAATTTTAAGGTTAGATATAATGCCCTTGTCCCTTCCCTCTCAAGTCTGAGCTTCAAGCGTGACCACCTTTTCACATACCCTTTGGCCATTTGTATGTCTTCTTTGGAGAAATGTTTACTCAGGTCCTTTGAATATTTTCAAGTGGGTTATTTGTAGAAGCTTTTTACATAATTTGAATATTAACCCTTATCAGATATATGGTTTGCAAATATTTTCTCCCATTCCATGTGTTGTCTTTTTACTCTGTTTATTTTGTTCCTTTGGTGTAAAGAAGCTTTTTAGTTTGATGGAGTTCCACTGGTTTATTTTTGCTTCTTGTGTGTGTGTGTGTGTGTGTGTGGTGTGTTTGGTGTAATATTCAAAAAATCATTGCCAAAACTAATACCAAGAAGCTTTTTTCCTGTTTTTTTTTTTCTAGGAATTTTATGGTTGCAGGTCTTACATGTAAGTCTTTAATTCATTTTAAGTTGATTGTTGTATGGTGTAAGACAAGGGTCCAATTTTATTCTTTTGCATGTAGATATCTGACTTTCCTAGCATCAGTTATTGAAGAGAATTTCCTTTTCTCATGGGTATTCTTGGCACACTTGCCAGAGATTAGTTGACTATATATAGGTAGGTTTATTTCTGAGTTCTCTATTCTGTTCCATTGTCTATGTGTCTGTTTTCATGCCAGTACCACATTGTTTTAATTTCTATAGCTGATAGTAGAGTTTAAAATCAGGGTGTGTGATGCCTCCAACATTGTTCTTATTTCTCAAAATTAATTGCTTTGGTTATATGAGTCTTTTGTGATTCCATACAAATTTTAGAATTTTTTCCTATTTTTATAAAAGTATCATCGGAATTTTGATACAGATTGTATTTAATCTATAAATCACTTTGGGTGGTATGCATATTTTAACAATATTAATTCTTCCAATTCGTGAACATGGGACATCTTTCCATTTATTTCTGTTTTCTTCAATTTATTTCCTTAATGATTTATAGTTTTCAGTTTAAAGGTCTTTTACCTCCTTGGTTAAATTTATCCCTAAATACTTCTTATGCTATTATAAATGGCATTGTCTACTTGGTTTCTTTTTCATATAGTTTGTTGTTAATACACAGAAATGCTATTGATTTTTATATGTTGATTTTGTATCCTGCAACTTTAGGGCAGTGAAACTATAGTATCTGTATGATACTATAATGGCAGGTTCATGACATTACACATTTGAGAAAAGCCATAAAACAATACAACACAAAGAATACAATTTAATGTAAACTATGGACCTTTGGGTAATAATTATATATCAATATTCATTATTCATTAATTGGAACAAATACACCACATGAATGTAAGATATAGCTATGTGGGGGAAGAGGGCATATGGGAACTCTGCACTATCTGTTCAGTTTTTCTGTTCTAAAAAGTAAAGTCAAATAATTAGGGGAGGAAAGCAAGTCAAATGGTCTGAATTTTAATTTAACTACTTGTTCCCTGATGGGGTGCTTAACACTTGGTCTGACTCTTTGCTCTGTGAAGAGAAAGGTTTACTCTGTACAAGGCCTGGAATTGGGTGTCAAGGGAACTGGCAGCCATTCATTGACATGTATCAATTTAGCTTAATAATCTACATCTTGATTCTACTTGGGAACCTGCATGCCTGAACACAAAAATCAGGAACAAAAGGCAAGGGAGAGAGAAGAAAATTTGGTTCTTGCGTTACGCAAGGCCTTTAGGAACATCTGCACAGAATCAATAGCAGGAACTGTTAGTGATCACAAGTTACTCTGCAGGACTGGTCTACTTTATAGAGTAGGGTGCCAGTGAGGATGTCTGCAGCAGTGAGTGAAATTTTAAATGCTTTAGTAGCCAGCAGTAGCCACCTGGGCAGTGAAATACCAGCCCTAGAGAGGCAGGGGAAGGATTTATAGGTGGCTCTGTGTTTCAGGAAGATCTCTCATGGTCTAAAAAAGAATTTTCCTCACACCAATTTGGTGTGCAAAATGATCAATATGGGCTCTTATTTCAAAGTGATAGAAGGGGTGCATCTTCCCACAGGTGAGAAGGCAAGTGCACAATGACAAATATGTCTAATGCTCATGCCCACCTGTTATGCAATATGGAGCAGGAAAAAGACACTTGTCCTCCTTTTGCATAGCTTACCCTACAATCTAGATTCCCTGAGAAGGCACAGATCATTCAAATTCAATGAAAATCTTACAGTTTAGATTATCTATTAGTCCAAAAACATGTGTGTATGTCCCAATTAAGTATGTTACTATATATTAAAATTAATTTATTTTCACAATAAATAAAAATAAATTCAAGGAAACAGATTTTAAAAATCACATCATAACTTTTGTTTGATATTCTTACTCAAATAAAATTCCTCTTTATCTGTTTCTGCTAAAAACTAAGGGAGAAACTCTTGCTGTCAAACTAACAACTATAAAAAGAATTAATAGAAAGTTCTAATGAGTTTTCCCAGAATGCATTAGAGCTAATTTTATTGGTATATAGAACTCTTTCCATATTTAATGATTCTTATATCTGAAGCAAGTACCTCTTTGGTTTTGGTTGAAATGTTTTTCAAGATGTAATTCATTTTTTGATTAATAAATGTATTCTTTGCAATTAAAAGGAAAATCACATCAGCTTTGCTGATGGCTATGTCAGAAAAGTCCACAAAACAGCTAATAGATTGTTGAAATAGAATTACAGTTTAACATAGTAACTATCAATACTGAATTATTAAGATTTCAGCTTTAGATATTTACAAAAATATAGTATTTTATTCATATTCTAATTTTTCAAAATTATATTATAAAATTTCCAGTGCTATTTATTCTCCTTGTTTTATGCTTTCCTTTAAAAACAAAGCCTCCTTTGGCTGTTTCTATTAGTTAACATTCACTGAGCATCATTGATATCCTTAATTATTTAGGTAGCCATCAAAGTAATCAACAAGAAGCCAAGCGAGACTCCTATGTTCTAAAGAATATAAAGCATGAATCTCGAATCCAGCAAATGGTTAAACATTGTCCCTAACATTGTCCAGCTGTACAAAACCCTGGAGACAGAAACCTCTCATTACATGATGATGGAGGTATTCCTTGGTGGCAACCTCCTGGGCAGGATCTGAGGTCAAAAGAAACTAAGTGAAAAGGAAGTGCAGACATTCTTCAGGCAGATCTTGTCTACTGGAGGGCATCTCCACCGACAAGGAATCATACACACGTATGATGCAATTTTTCCTGTGAGGGACAAAAAGCCACCAAATTCATGAAACCTCTGGCATGTCAATCACTGGCAGCAAGCCCAGCACAAGTTGCTAAATGCAACTTAAAGGAAAATTAGTGTCCTTAAGAAGCTCATCACAGGGTGTGCCATCATGGGGAAAACAAGCACAGCCCAAACACGCACATGTGAAGCAACAACAGCCAGCTCTTCCTCTCCCTTACAGTGTTCAGTTTGAGCTCATAAGTAACCTATGTTTATGTGAAAACTGTGATTATATAGTTTAGAAGGAGACTTTTTTATCTTCTTATGGGCAAAATATATGAAAATAACAGAATGTGGCACTAATAAGTGTGAGAGGGATTCCTGCAAATTTTTGTGGGTTTTATGACTTGGGGAAACCCTTACTGAGGCCAGCTTATGGTAATAGCTGGTTTACTTAACAATGTGTCTGTTCTTTCTATCCATCCAGATTTTTAAATGCCTAATAAAATGCCTTATGATTTGGGAAAGATCATAGTTACTTATTCCCAAGACCCTTCACACACTGAACTATACATAGTTCATTCCACAACGCTGTCTTCTGGCCTTCCCTTTTTGTTTCGGTAGAACTCCAGAGGCCAGAAAGGAATTTCAAGTCATTCTGTAACTCTGTGTTAGAATTTCTCTTCCCTAGTCATCCTGGCATTCCTATGATATGTGACGCCTTTCCACAGCATGCAAAACATACTGCTCTGTTTCCGTGAATGGGAAAAACTCCAGAAAAGGGGAATGTTGGACTTAACATCAGAGAGATGCTGAAGACACACACTCAAGCAAATCGTATAGAGGAAATGGTGTCTAATAAACTCCTGGTTATTTCTTAAGCAAGCAACTTATTGACACGTTCAATTGCTTAATGAATGTCATGCTTGTAATCATTCAAAACCATCTGGCTGAGTAGCACATGCACAACTAGAGGAGCAAAGGCAAGGAGCAAAGGACCTTCACAGCAAGGTCCAGGAATAAGGCAGCAGAACCCATGGGGGGCCTCCCAAACATTGCTTTGCCCAGCTCAGATGGCCAACCCCAATCCCCACATCACCATGCCACCTCCTCCTTGCAAAAGCCTGCCCACCAAAGGACGGGAGAGAAAGACAAGAAAACAAACAACTCCTATAAAATACTTGGTGGGGGAAAAGAGACCAACTATGTATGAAAATGTCATCTTATTTCTAAAGGTTATGTTTTAACTCTTTGTTCTAAGTCCACTCTGACTGCTTCTTGAGCCTCTGGTTAAAATATACAGAGAACCTACTGCACACATCATCTTTGTAAGTAGAGGTGACTATGCAAAGGTACTGTGTTATTTAATGCCCTTGATGGTCCTGTGAAGTGTTAGAAATCTCCACTGCTACCGATATTCAGAATTGGCCAAGCCATCAGCAATGCCTTTGAAGGGTGTCACAGATTGGTGTCTTGGGTAACTGAGACAAAAAAAATTAGAAGAGTTTTGTTTTACATTTTCAATTAACTTATTCTTTTTTAAAAAAAAATTGGCTTATATGATATTTGATGACAATACTCCTAACGTTTTCCACACAGACTCCTAAGGAGACTCATCTCAGATATTAAGGGTATTGGTTCATTTTAGCCAGATTTTATCTGCCTAAAATACCAGACAGGAGGATAGTGCTCTGTATAATTAATCCTAAGGCCTGCACTCCTGAGATACAACCCCAAAAATGATGCGATGTTTATACAAGATTCTACCTGGTCACCTAGTAGTCATTTAGTGATTTTAACTGTGTCGTTTCCAACTATGGCTTGATTAGAAAAAGATAAATTTCATTTGTCTGATTAGTATCTTAGATGATTCATATAAAGACTGCTTGCCATTTATTTCTTAGCAGGTCCTCAGTTTTAACATAAGACGATTCCCAAATGGCAATCTGTCAATGTCAAGCCAAAGCTAGGAATAAAAAGCTGGAAGAATATTGTCCCCTTTTCTGGTGTTTTTTCCTGGAAACTCAAGGAATTTAATCCATTATCACTTTTAAGGCTCAAATCAAGGAAGGATCCTCTTCAGCATAAAGAGACAGTATTCTAAAACACAAAATGTTAATATTGGTGTATAACATTTACTTTTCTTGATCTATTTAGGGACTTGAAGATTGAAAATTCTCTCTTTAGGGACTTGAATATTAAACACAGTAGTAAAATTGTTGATAAGTATAAGTGTCTTTGTCTATTTCATTAATCTAGCAGATTCCTGGAATAATTAGTTAATTATTAATTAATGAAATTAATTATTTGAAACACAGGCCTAAAGGTTTTCAGGGGGTAGCATTACAAGCCACGGCATTTTCTCCAAGTGGAGTAATACTATTTCAAAAGGTGGTAGAAACATAATATTTGAAGCATAGATAAAAATAAGGTATGATGCAAACAGAGTCTATTATTATATTAAACTATCATGTAATAAATTAATTTAAATGATATCTCATTTTAAATGTATCAGTGTAAGTATAAAAATCTAAATTTGGCATTTTATATGTGCAGTTACATATAGCATAAATACACATTCTGCTGTCTGGGAAACCATTTTGTTATTTCTCTCAAAATATTATTCTATTTCAAGTAAACTTGGCAAAATAATCTGGAAGAGAAGTTCCTCATACATAAAAATTTTTGTTTCTCTTCATGAATTGCAAACTGAACTCCAAGCAATTCATGCTAAAGTAATAAAAACAAACCCTGAGAATAACCTACAGCCTCACAACTTGGAGGTCTGCAGTGAGGCTTTCTGAGGATCCTGCAGATGGCCTGGGGGTCCCCCGGTGTGAGTCACTGCGAGCTTACAGCTTTCTGACATGGACCCCAGGCCAAGCGCTTCCAGGCCATGCATGCTCACTGGGGATGATTTTACACAGACCAAGACCCCAGCTAACCAAGCTCTGTTGTCTCTAGGCTACCCTTGTCTCCTGTCTCCATGGAAACTTTGTGGATGTGGACCATCAGGCCTCTCCCTTCCTCTGCCCTCCCTGGAGCAGTGCTGCCCAGGTGGAGCCTGCGGACAGCTTTTCCCTGCTGAACCCAATTGCACCAAGCAGGGGCTGTCTTCTCCCCTGACATGAATGACTCTCAAAGGCTGTTCCTATTACTTACTTTGTAGAAACAGACAAATTGCACAAGAAAAAAATGAGAGCAATGGTAACAGTCATAATTATATCAATGGATACAATTGATGATGTAATTATATCAATGGATATCAATGGATATACTTATGATGTGTTCAAAACCATTAACCTAAATTAACATTTAAATTCATATAAAACCCTATGAGGTAGACACATATTACCCTATATTAAAGATAAATAAATTGAGTCACAGAGAGGAGTAACTGGGATTTCAACCCTAACAGAGTTGGGCAGAAAGCAAAAGTGAGTAAAGGGAAGCCCAGTTCTCAAGGTAATAGAGTGGTGGCTGCTGACCCAAGAGCAAAGTCTGCACTAAACAGCCAGATATTATTCACCCTCATCACGGTCTGCTGTCAGAGAGGAAACTTTACAACAGAGTGCAATGCAAATGCCAAGTTATGTTACCCCAGGTATGGGCTAAAGAAAACATTCCTAGAGAGCTGGCTAAAAGAAAAGCCCAAGAATTTAAAGCAATCAAATCAATGATTTTATGTGAGGACAGTACCTCACCCTGTTTTCCTGCATCCTTATTTCCTTGAGAATGACCGCTATGAAACACGTTTTACCGAATTATTTCATCAAGTTATTCATAGACTCTCTTTATCCAAGTGCAGCTAAGAAGTACTGAAATGTTCTCAGCCGAGGTGAACTTGGTCTGCCCGTTTGTAAATCTTGCAGACTCCGGACTGAGTGATACAGTGAAGTTGGAGGGGCTGCCTCAGGAGCAGCTAAGCACTCAGTGAGGAGGTCCTGCCTACGCCGACCTGAACTGCTGGCTCATCAGAAATGCAGCTCCAAAGTGGACGTCTGGTCCATGTGAGTAAATCACCGAACTCCCGTGTCAGGTTAGGAGCTCTGCTCTGTGTGATAATCCCTTTGGATTTAGAGCTGCCTGAAACCTGGCAGTCAGGAGGACAGGGTGTCCCAGAAAGCATGTCGTTCCTCACCTTAAGTTGAAGAAATTACACGTATACATCACCTGCATCTTAGCAAAGTTGTAATGCTGAAGACAGGGGCATCTGTGAAGATGTGAAGATTCTATGACCTCGTGGTCAATGATTTTTTTTTTTCTTTTCACTCTCAAATTCAAAGCAACATGAGCATTTGAAAGGAACACATTTTAGAGTCCTCCTGAGCAATCCTTCAAGACACAGTCTGACATCACCTCCACGGAACAATCTCGAACACTCCTGAGCCCTTACACCAGGCTGGTTGAGTGCCTTGCTCAGGAGCTCTCATTCGTTTTGTTTTCCCCTGTACTCGAGCCCTTACCGCCCGGTGGAGTCATTATTGTGTGGCTGTGGGTCCCCCATTAGACACCGCTCTGTCACTATGGCTGCAAAGCCAGCACCTAGCACATTGTGGGGGCTTAACCTGGGCTTACTAATTGTTTATTGGATGGACTTTCGAATTATCTATGCGTGTTAACACACATTCGTTCTCCATCTGTCATCAGGTATTTAAGCAGAACATTCTAATCACAGAGCTCAAGTTTAACATGTGTGAAACTTGTGCTAAAATATATCCAAGCTGACAAATGATGTCCAAGATGTCAAATGGGATCACTTTAAGGAAGAAGAGCCTGTGATTAATTAATGGGCCCAAATTCTCCAGGCAGTTCATCATTTTATTGCCCAGTAAAGATTCCATTGTCCATAAAAGCATATAGTTAACAGAAAATTCTGCAAAGAATTTTATCTTAATTAATTTTAAAACTCCCCTTGGAAATCGTATTTGCACTCTGTGTTTTAACAAATCTTTCTCTTCATAATTATCTCAAAGAACATATCAGAATGACTATGTCTGAAATGCCACAATGTCTACTCTAGAAAAGTGTAAATTAATAACATTTTTGTTATGTGAAGAAAGACATAGGATAAAATATAGTTTTGATGGCTAAAAAAATAGCCAGGAAAGGGGAAAAAGAAAAGGCAGTAGATGTGGCCAAAAGACGTTTTCCTCCCACATCTTCAGCTGCTTTTGGATTCTGTTACATTTTAGCCTAGACTTGGAGAGTTTATTAAAACATACATATTTTACCCCTAAATTCACACATTAAAAAAAAAACATACTAAATTAGTGGGCCTCCTCATTTTGTTGATCTTTGAGTAAGTACTTTTCATGCCAAATTTCTGGGGAGGTTTGACTGGGGGGGTGGGTTTGTTTGTTTTTGTTTTTGAGAAACCAAAATGTTCTTTAGCTTTGACTTCCATTCGACACATTCAACACAAAATCTATTAAAGAAACACCAACCATCACCATACTTATTCCTTATTTTTATGCATCTAGTTTTAAGATCCTTTGGAGGGCTGAGATATGATTAGACTTTACGTACATTGACTAAATTAACAAACCAGCTGCTGTCTTTAAAGCATGTCAGAGATTTCAGTGGAGTGGAAGAGTTGCATTCTGTCACAGCTAATAAATTTTCAAGTTCACATATCGCCGGGTTTCAGTTGAAATTAAACATCGAATTCACAACTGTTGGACTAAACTCACTTTATGTGTCACCTTTTGAACCATCACCTGTAGAAGTCTAACCCAGCTGCTTCTATATCTCCAGTTCTTATTCTTTGCAGCATGAACATGCTGGTAGGTGTGTGGGAAGCACTAGAGACCTGTGCTCCACTCACCTCAGCATGATTTGTGCATCCAGCAGATAGCAGTGTGCATGACCAAGGCAGCACCAAAACCATTGTTTTTCCAGTACAGACTTCCCAGGCATCCCCCAGTGTGCAAGATCTCCCTGCCTGATTGCTTAAATCCCAGCACCAACCTAAAAACATGACCTCAGGCTTAGGCAGGCAATCTGCTCAGAAGTGCTGCTCCACTTAAATATTAACACCCACTACCTCCACCTCCAAACAGCTTTTTGGCACAACCTGGCTGGAAAACAGCTGAAAAATATTTAAATCCAGTGCAAGTGGCTTAGAGGATTACTAGTGGGATAAAGAGTTTTTTCGTCTCTAGGTGTCTGATTCAGTGACAAATTTGGTTGATAGTGAGTGGAAATCCTGGTTGATGGTGAGTGTGAAAGTCATTATTACTTCTTTACAGGTCTTCTCTGGCCTGATCATTCCCTGTGGCTTCTGGCTTCTTTCCTATGTCCCTTTACAAGAAGTCTCACGACTACGAGATGATAAAAATATCTCTAAGGAACATTTGAATGTTGGTCACAAATTCCAAATGGATTTTGTTCTGCTTTCTTGTAAATCTCTACAGTTTTCATATGTTTCTAAACTCTCTGGCTCAGTCAAGTTTAAATTCTTGAAATCCCAACATTCCTACCAAAGAAATGGTTTCTCCATTTATTTTGTGACCTGGACAGAAAGACCACTGAAGACCACTCACAATCAAAGACATACATTTAGTGCTTAAAAGCCTAGACGCTGAAGTCAGACTTCTTGCATTCAAATCCACCTTTGCTGCTTCCTAACTATGTGCCCTTGGGTAAGATGCTTCATCCCCTTGCTGAAAGGGACACGGCGCACACACTTCCAACAGTGTGTGTTCTAAGGGACAGCAATGTTTATTGAGAAAAGCAAAACTTCTAAGTAGAGAAACCACAGGCTCCCTCCACCCCCCTTCATTATGCCATAGATAATTGTCAGGGATAAACAGGACTAAAACAGTGTAAAACAGAAGCCTACTTTTGGCTTTTATACCTTCCCGCCTCCCTATTCCCACTATGCTTTAAAAATTCCCCCCTTTCCTTTTCCTCCCTTCAAATCTCCAACTCAAAAATATTTAATACCAGATTCCTTAAAACTTGATTTGTCATTTATAATTTAGTATGAATATAAACTTAACCCATCCAGCATGTATCTGCTTTGTAAATGCAGAGCTTCTTAACCAAATAAGTCATTTAACTGGTTAATTCAAACAGCGGTTATATTAGCTAGGGGGTTAGAGAGAGCAGGTTATTTGTTCAAATTAGGAAAACTCAAGGAGAGATCATTTACAAAGGGACTGATTGCAAATTTGAAAGTGGACAAAAGGGAACCACAAGGAATAACGCCGGGACCTGGAGCTAATAGCAGCCGAGCTGCCACCACTCCTAGTCCCAAAGGGACAAAGGGAGGAAGAGAGTACCAGAACCTGGAAGTCAAGTTACATAACACTGGATTTTTGGAGAGGAGAAATTGCCTTATGTCAAGGTGAAAAACAGTGTAAGACAACCTGAGGCAGAGCCAGGGAATAAAATCCTTCACCTCACTCTCTCCATTCATTCCACTCTCCTGCTGGGGCTCCCCATTGGCTGAGCCCAAAGGGAGCGAGAGGCTCCAGAGAATATTCCCGCAGTCTGTGCATGTGGCCCTAGGGCAGAAAGCAGGCCAGAGAAGGACAGAGAGGGGAAGCAGAAGAGAAAAGGGAATACATCCAACAGAAGGGCTAAGAGACATTTGGGGGCAAGACAGTTCACTCTATCCTCTTCCATCCCAGCCCTCTCTGGTCTTCTCATCATGTCCAATAGTTTAGGAGTCAGCAACTTGGCACAGAATTTCTGAAGTTTTTGTGTTCACAAAACAGTAAAACTCTATGTATCCTCTTCCCCTCCACCATATACCTTCCTCAAAGTTTAAAAAAGTATCTGGTTTTGACCATCAGGCAGGCAAAGTAACTGGGAAAAACAATATTCCTTTGACACACACACGTAGCTTAAAACCAGCATCTCTCCTGGAAAGGCATTTTTTGAGCAGTCATATATCTCCAGGCTTTGGGTAGAAGCAAGAAAACAAGCAGAACATAAAT